CGATATCAAGATGGAGGCGTATGACTCCGTCTCTAGTTGACTACTCAGCAGAACTGTACGCAGAGCTTGTTGCCAAGTTGGTCAGCATCAAGCCATTCACGGAATGGACGTAGTTTTATAGTAGCTAGCGCATTTGAGCGTCCACCTATGATGGCTAATCGAAACACTTGAAGATGTTCTGGTGAGAAAATCATGGTGGCTGGTACATGGTAGACACTTAGCCGACGCATACGACGTAATTGCGGAACGGTACAGCGAAATGTGATCTGCAAAATGAGACATCAGTTAGGATACAAAAATCATAGCATTTTCAACTTCGTTTTTTATCTGCAGTTAACCAGATTTGGTTGCTTTTTGGACAAAATAAGGTTATGATCTGCATCGAAAAAAATTAGAAAAAAAATCCAATTCAAAGACTAGTTTTGGACGCTGTTTCCAACATGAAAACATTTAGCGTCTTCAGAGTTCGAAAGATTTTTTTTATATACTTTTTGGTTTTTTTAACTATCCATGTAGAAATGCACAAAAAGTACCTCTTTGGCCTTTGGAAATAGCGGTCCCATTGGAATACGCTGAGTTGTCGGATTCCACTGTGGTAAATCTCCATCAGACTGGCTAAGATATGTGGATATATTGAATTTCGCTTCACTTTGGAGCCATCCTGGGGACTAAAATCAAAGAGGCATAAGCACCACAACACTTTCGAGGAAATTTTTGACCAACTTGAATGCCTTCGTACTCCGGCGTCGGATCGGTACCACCAGCTGCAGCTTGGAATGCGAACCATGCCGATATGTCTGTTGTACATTGTCCTGCCACACATAGTTCAGCTATCGACGAGTCGAGCTGCAAGGAAAACTAATCAATTAAGGACTGTAAGAAAATGATAGAGGTTTTCTTACCATGATAGTGTGAGCGTTTTTGCCAAAGAACTGTATTGCCCGCAGTAATTTTGCTGCTTCCTTTGTTGTCCACTGCGCATGAGCGGCAAGTAGAATAGAACGATGTTCGTGATGCGCTAATAAATTGCAAGAGGGATGTCGGAAGAAGTCACCTGCAAAGAAATGTTTAATTGTTTTAGTAGAGGTAGAATGTGATTTTCAAATGAACGAGACCATATGACGACGCATGAATGGTACTGTGAGGCAAAGTTCTCCGGAAGTTCCAAACAGTAGGAAGCTTAGCGAAACTTTGGATGGAGGTGTAGTCTTGTAGTATTTATATGAAATTTGCTTTCAAAATTCGAAGTCTATGTTCATCAAATTCGCGTGAAGAGTATCATGTTTCCTATTTCTGGATTTGCTTTGGTTCTTGCTCGTGGCTCCGAAGTCTTCTATTCAAAGTTTCAATTACGTCCAATAATG